TAATGGAAAAATATTGTAAGAATATTCCCCACATGCCACAGCCTACTATACTCAAATAAATCTCAACCTTGTTTTTGTTTCTAGAAAGCTTTTTTCTAAATTGGAAAAAAGTAATGTGATCCTAAGCAGCTTAAAGCAGGATGTGTCATGAGGTGGGCCAAAATTCCCCTGAGAATAGTTCCACACAGAGGCAAAGAAAGATATTGTAGATCTTATGGCATACTCAAATCAAACTACATCTTACTGTCACCGCTACTATTTTTTTTTATTGTGAAAATACTGTACAGAGGGGTTACAATTACATGGGCAAGATAGTGAGTACATTTCTTATCAAGCATTGTAGCCTCCTCCTTTGTTTGAAGCCAAAAATAGGTTACAAACAATCAAAGAAGAATATTAGCCCTGTATTGCTGTGTTAAATTTGGAGACAGGAAGATAAAGTAATCTGGGTCCCTTTAAGATGGCTGAATAGCCAGGCACTAATAGCTCATACCTGTAATCCTAGCTACTCAGGAGGCTGAGATCTGAGGGTCACAGTTCAAAGCCAACTTAGGCAGGAACGTCTGTGAGACTCATATCTCCAAAAACTACCAAAAAACCAGAAGTGAAGCTGTAGCTCAAGTGGTAGAGTACTAGCCATAAACAAAAATAAGCTCATGGACAGTGTTCAGGCTGGAGTTCAAGCCCTAGGACTGGCATCCTCCACCCTCTTCCCCGCCCACCTCCCAAACAAAAGATGACTGACTAGAAATAATGTTACAACAGAAGCTTCCTTCATGTAATTAACTCCATGAATGAGAGGAGTCAGAGTAATGAAGAAGAGACTATTCCAAAGAAAAGATGAGTATCATAAACCATGAAATAGGTGAAAAGAGAGTTGAAGTCCCTTGGAGGAATAGATAGGCCACCCACCAAGAAGTAGGAAACATCCCACAGCATTGAACTAAAGGAAAAGGAAGCCAAATTGACAAGGTAAGCCAGACAGTTTTGACAACATACTAGCAGTCCTAACTACAGGACAAACCAACAGCCCTTGCAAGTTTAAATTCAGTGTATGAATTTATTGTGACAATCAACCTTCTCACATAACAGACTAATATTGGGAACTATGGCTGGGAGCCATCTTGACAGCTACACTAGGGGCCTGAAAACAAGGGATAAATGTGAGTCTGTTTAGAAATTTGAGGACACCTAATGATACACAGGGTGAAATACAACCAGGAGACATAGTTATTTTATGAGGAGGTGCAGGGTTGGACTGGGACCCACTGACAAGCCTAGATCTTAGGAAACTTAGGCTGTAAAAAGCCTAGATATTGGTAATTCTAGACACTGTAGTGAAGAAGGAACCCCATCACCTGTGTATAATCAAGAGACTGAACCATCGAAGCCAGTCAAGGGACTGCTCAATATCTGGGAATGCATCCATGTCAAATGTGGTAGCTGGAAGTTGGGACTGAGAGCTCTGAGAACTCAGAGCTTAAGTCTAGTGGGTTATTCTTTCTCTAGTTGCCTCCTTCCTGCAGGGTGATTTATTGTTGGTCAGATTCAGAAATGTCTATTATGTTGAAATCAAATGCCAGATACCCTTAGTCCTCCCCAACAAGTGAAGATCTCAAGGCTCTGTTTGCATAGACTCTGTGGAAATCCCTAGGTTTGGACATTTATTATCCATGTATGCACAGAGATATGGGTGAAAGGAAGGTGCCTAGCCAACAGCTATGGTTCTTAGGGCCAGCAGCAACTCTAGGTACAAAATGATATCTTAAAGTGAATGCAACCCTGATGCTCACAACTAACCTTTGACTAGCCCCGCCCTCACACACAATTCAACTTGAAACAATTGTTATAAGGGCTTGTTATTTCCTCTATGAGTGATCCCTCAAGCAAATATAGCTAAGAAGTCAAGGAATAAAATTGGAAGAGGTATCTGTTTTAAAAGACATGGAAGGATCAAAGAAACAGCTGAATGAAGCATGATCTGGATGAGACAGTCATCGACACAGATTAGTAATTCAGGAAGGATATGGGGATTGTGAGGGGAAATGAGAAATATGAGAGGAAGCAAAATGACAGGTTAGAAGCATCCACTATTTTTATTTCATGAATGAGAAAAATCAAGTAACACCGGTGCTACTAGAGTCTGAAGATAGGGAAGGAACAGTATCAGGAACCATAAAAAGTTCATCAGAGAGGCAGGAGACCACAGAAAAACAGGGGGGCTGGGGGAATAAACAACAAACAAACCAACAAACTAACAAAAAACAGCAAGAAGTTCCAAGCAGGCCCTACTGGTTCCAGAAGGGAAATGAAAGCAAAAAACTTCATTACAAGTTAAAATAGATGGACCTGATAACAAACTGCCATTTCTAACTGCACAATAAGTTCACACCTCAATCCTTAAATCCAGAGTAGGGATCTGTGATACAGTAATGGTTCTGGTGTGGAATGCTAGCCTTGGTGAAGAAAGACATTCTGTGTCTACCACCTTACTTCAGGGGACAACCAAAAGATTCCATGTTGAGAGAGAGCCTGCTACTTGGAACTGGAACACTCTGAGGGGGGTGGAGGGTACTGGCAAACAAGACACACTCAGGCTCAGGGAGTGTTGGAACATCATGTCAAATTTGGGGTGAAAAACACCCATGAGTAGTGGTCAAGGATGTGTAGGCTGAGCCATGAGATGTGCAGAGTTTAAGCTGTGAGAAACCATTCAGGCAGCATAGGATATCAGAAGTTTAGGCACCTGCAACTGCTAAGCTTCTGTCTACTGGCTGCTACAGTTTAGGTACAGACAAAGTGTAGTAACCGCCTGTGTCTGTGCTTACCTAGGTCTCCACAAGGGCAGCAACTACCTAGGTTCCCACACATTAGGAAGAATTGAATCTACCAAAGTCCCCATCTGCTGGAAAGAGCATAGACCACCCATTTCACCATCCTCTGAGAACATCTGCAGCCACCTAAGTCCCACAAGGAAGACCCCTGCATCCATCCTGTCAGGGAAATGCTTAGTGGAAACTGTGTAAGAATGGCGGTGGTAAGGTCCCAAGCCTCAGAAATCATCACAGGAGATTAAACAGATCTCCAAATTCATAGTCCTTAAATTAGAAAACAAGTAACAATGAACTCCACTCTAGACTCCAATCTAAAGACTGCCACCTTCTGGTTCTAAATGTAGAGATAAATAAAAGTTAAGATATTTGAATGGTCTTAGTATATTTAACACTGCTAATGCCATCCATAGCATGTACAACCGAGAATTCTTTCTGGCAGTTTTGGATTCAGAGTCCGAATTCCCAACTATGTAGCCTTGAACACATTTTGGTAAAGCCCTCTATTTTTCTTTTTTTAAAGTGAGGACAAAATTAGAACTTAAAATATGTACCTGAGATTGAATTGTTTAACTCAAAAGATATATTGAAGTTCTATCCCTTGGTCTCACTGGATTAGATGAAAGGGACAATTTGAAGAATCAAACAGTTAGACCATTCAACACTTAAAAATTATACAATTCCCAGCCTGTCCGGATGGCATGCCCTTAAAACTAAAGCTAAAAGTTGGTCTGGCCACATATTTGTTAAGGTTTGTAAGCCTGGGATTTATGAATCCACTCAACCATTTCAATAGAAGCCAAAAACAGACATGAAATTTAACCATGAAGGATATGAGGAGAATCTTCATGTCTAATGGTGTGGATTTCCTTAAAACTACAGAAAATCAACATACAGTGTCAGAGTTGTTTTTTTTAAAGATCTGCTTTAAAAGCCTAGCAGCTGCTGCAGAGAATAGAAAGAATGGCATTTCACAAAAGAATGGCCCAAATGCAGAAGAGATGATATCCAAAAGATAAGCATTCTCTTCTTCAACATGACATTGGCTATTTGTGCATCAAAAGTCAGAGCCTATTATTTCTTTTTTTTTTCAAATTCTTTATTGTGATTAAGTGATTACATAATTTCCCAAATTTCACAGTATTGTGGATAGTGATGCTTAAAGTCACAAACACATTCTAACTTTCATGGGGCAAATTGTCTATTGTGGTCTATAACATTTATGAGTTCTATGAGCTTTGCAATGCAGTTATTTCTTCCACATTGGGTGATATGTACATTTCTTTTGTTTTACATAGCATCAGCTGTTTCCTCTTTCCCACTCATTGCCAGGAACCAAGTGCTGTTTGCTAGAAAATACAACTACTACCTTCGATGATAAGAGCTATTAAGCCTTGGAGACTATTGATACCCTGTTTGACAACATTGCTTGGAGCCACCACTTTGCATAAGAACCGCCACCACTTTGCATAAGAGCCTTTAAACCTTACAACTTACTGATGTCCTGTTTGACAACATTGCTTGGAGCCTTCTGAAGATTCCCCACCTATGACCTTTTGCAAGATATACTTTGTAGTTTTGGTGCCTAGCAACCCTATTGACCTGCTGATGCTAATTACCCTGCTCAGCGTGCTATATATACTGCTGTGTAAAAAATAAAGTTTGAGACCTTGATCAGAACCCTGTCTTGGTCTCCTTCCTCATGGTCTGGTTTGTCTTTCATTCAGGTCAGTTCCTCTTCGAGCCCTTGTTGACCGACCCGGCGGGCTGGGGCAACTCATTTCAGTTTTATGTCTTCAGAAATCATGCCAGATAGACTGGCAAACAAAAGAGGAGGTTGGGAGAAAAGTCATAAAGTTTATATGCCAGAAAGTATGGGTCTACTTATGTGCAGAAATAAGAGCAGGGCCCCCCAGTAGAGCTAAATAAGAGTTCACTAAACCACAAGTGATTGTTCTATTACCTTGGAATTCAAGAAATTCTCACTACTAGTTTTAGATTTGTTTGAAACAATTCACTTTTGTTCCTTCCAAGTTATTCATTTCTTCCATTGTAAATAACTTTTTCTTTTACAATTCTTTCCTTATCCCATCATTGTATATTGGAATCATTTAGCTTGCTATTGAGGTTCCACAATCCACAGATGGAGAAGTTTTTTTTTTAAATATTCAAGTTTATTTAACAAATTTTAAAAGTATTATAAAATGTTTAGCTTTCATCAGCTTCCAGGTTTATGTTGCTGCCAAATTTCACATATAGCTGAACTTTCAGATCTCTCTGCATGGCTGCCACTCTGGATACTAAGGTGTCAATTTCTTCTTGCAAGTTTTTCTTTGCGTCTACTAACATATGTTGGTTTTCCTCCTGAGAGTGGCTAATGAACACATCTCCAATTTGATAGGGTATCGTTACGCAGTCGTCATCTGCAAGCATGATGGCATCACAGGCATCTTCTAAGTTTTGGAGCTGTTTCTTTTTTACTTCTATTTCCTCCTTTAGCTCTGTGATTCTACTTGTATTCTGTGCAAGTTTGTTTAACTTTTGTTGATCTTCAAAAGTGACGCTGATATCTTCTGCAGCCTCCTTCTTCCTGATGGCCCTGAAGAAGAGTTTTGCCACAGGATAATTAATACCCAATGGCCTTAACTCAAGTGATAAAGATAATTTAGAAGATGAAATTTAAGAACTTCTTAGCTGGGTGCTTGTGGTTCATGACTATAGTTCTAGCTACTCAGGAGGCTAGATCTGTGGATTACAGTTCAAATATATACTGGGCAAGAAAGTCCATGAAACTCTTATCTCCAATTAAACACCAAAAATGTAAGAAGTGGATCTGTAGCTCAAAGGGAAGAGGGTTAGCCTTGTGCAAAAAAAAGTTCAGGGAGAGTAACTTGGCCCTGAGTTCAAACTGCTGCAGAATCTGAACCAAAAAACAAAACAAATAAAAACCTTGATCATTAGCTTTAGATATTTTGGATTTATATTTGATTCTGGAATAGATTAAGTGTAGTCAGGATGTTAAGATGGTCTGAACGCATTTTGCAGGTGAATAAACAATAAGATCCTTGGGAGAACTGGGGTCAGAAGGCACTGTTATGAACTAAATTGTGCCAGCCCAAAAGCTATACCAATGAAATAATGTTTTCCAAGCCCTGAAGCAAAACATCTGCCAAACTAGATTATTGTGTTTAGCAAAACTTCCTTTCATTAAAAAAAAAAAAGCCAGATGTCGGTGGCTCATAACTGTAATCCTAGCTATTCAGCAGGCTGAAATCTGAGGATCATGGTTCAAAGCCAGTCTGAGTAGGAAAGTCTGTGAGATACTTATCTCCAATTTACCACCAAAAAGTCTTAAGTGGAGCTATGACTCAAGAGATAAGAGTGCTACTCTTGACAAAAATGCTCAGGAACAGGGTCCAGGACCTGAGTTCAAGCCTCACAACCAGCAACAACAACAATGAAAATCCCTTCCATGACAAACAAAAACAAAAGAGAAGATGGTGCCCATTGTTTTGACTCCATGAATGAGAAAAGTTAGGGTAACAAAGGAGGGAATGCTGAAGAAAGGAATATCATTAAGAATAACAAAAGAGGTAGAAGAGAGAAGAAAATCACAGAGAAATGGAAACAACAGAGAAAACCAGAAAACAGTTAAACATCCTGACATTGGCCCGTAGGAAGGGAGGATAAAACTGAAGACACTATCACAATCACAGATGGCCCTGGTGACAAAACAATAATTTCAGCTTCAGAATAAGACCATACCTCTTCCAAATCTTAAATACAGGGTGGTGAAGGAAAAACTGGTAGAAAATGAGGGAGAAGGTGACACTGTTCAAAAGAAAATGTACTCATTACCTGACTTATGTAACTATTAGCCCTGTGTACATTACCTTCACAATATTTTTTAAATAGTTAAGGGAAAATATAAAATAAAATACAGCGTAGTGATTTGGTGAGAAAATGACTAGTCCTGTATAAAAGGTTAACCTTGATAAAGGAAGAAATTCTGTAGCTCCCCTCACCAGTGAAACCAATCAAGGTGCAATCTTGACACAGGCCTATTGATTGAGACTGAGTTACTTTGGAGGCTTGAAAATAAGAAACAATCATTTCAGAGAGTGTTGGGACACAATGCCATAGTGTCTGAGTAGAAGACATCCACAAAAGATAGTAATAGAAAGAGAGAGACTGATAGAGTTCCATAGAGAAGTGCAGGTAATAGAGAGCTTTGGAAGCAAAACCAAATTGGCACAATTGTCAGATACTGTGATCCCCCAGGCAGGGAACAAGGCTTATGGCCTGAGGGTTGCACTAGAAACAAACACTGAGCCTTCCGGTGGCATACTATTTATTCTTTAAAGTCTACCTACTAGTTGTATCTGTTGGCTGTAGGTAAGACTAAGAACCTTGGCTGCTTTTCTTCAACAAAGAGATGAACGGCAATACATGACCTAAAAGCCTTAAGGCCCACATGTGGGATCTGTAGTCCTGCCTTGTCTTTGCTGCATGTCTTTGAGGGCCGTAAAGCACACATTTGGTGTGCATCCTCCACACCCCATGCATAAGATCTGTAAACACTGAGACATACCTCTAGGAATTGCAACCTGGTGAATGTTACAAGGTGTGATAGAAGGCCCTGAGTCTAAATCCTCAAAATTAGAAGACTTTTACAGTTTACTCCAAAACCCTCAGACAGACAGATTACTTGATAGCTTCTGGGAACACTGAAGCAGAAGGCAGAGAGGCTTAATTCACCTTCTTGTCACTATCAAACTCAATGCTCTATTTGCACATTCCATTTGCTGATGCATTCAGGGATTACCACTAGGATTAGATATTTGCTGCATAAATCAATAAATGTAATACAGGATATAAACAGAATCAAGGACAAATGTATGACTAACTCAATTGATGCAGAAAAAGCCTTTTCTACATGATAAAAAGCCTTTTCTCTCATGATAAGAGATGTGAAGAAACTAGGAATAAAAAGAGTGTGCTTCAATATAATAAAGGCTATATATGATAAAGATTGTTTTTTGGTTTTTTTTGGTTGTGAGGCTTGAACTCTGGGCCTAAGCGCTGTCCCTCAGCTCTTCAGCTCAAGGCAAGCACTCTACCACTTGAGCCACAGCACCACTTCCAGTTTCTGGTGGTTTATTGGAGATAAGAGTCTCACAGACTTTCCTTACCGTGCTGGCTTTGAACCATAATCCTCAGATCTCAGCCTCCTGAGTAGCTAGGATTACAGGCTTGAGCCACCGGCGCTCAGCTTTTCTATGATAGCTTTAAACGTCATAATTCTATATAGGAAATAGCTGTAATCATTTTCTCAGAAGCCAAAAGTGAGACAAGGACATTCACTTTCCGCACTCTTTCACAATATAGTACTGAAACTTCTAGCCAGAGTAATGAAGCAAGAGAAATAAATAAAATAGACTCAAACAGGAAAGTAAAACATCAAATTATTTTTGTTTATAGATGATATCATCCTATTCTTAAAATACTCTAAAGATTCCACACCAAAAAAACCTTTTAGATCTAATTATGACTTTTGACATTGTAGCAGCATATAAAATCAACACACAAAACCAGTATCTTTTCTATTCATCAACAATGAACAGTCTGACAAAGAAATCAGGAAAACATTTCCATTCACAGTAGCTTTCCAAAAATACCTAGACACAATTTCTTTCTTTCTTTTTTATTATTAAGTAGTTGTACAAAGAAGAATTACAATTCCATACCCACATAAAAATTTAACAAAGAAAGTGAAAGTAGCGCCAGGTGATAGTGGCGCAAGCCTATAATCTTTAACTATTTGGGAAGCTGAGATCTGAAGAATGTAATTTGAAGCCAGCTCAGCCCGACAAAAAAGTAGCACCTCAGACATATGCTAGGTATTGCCAATAAGGGAAACCATGGGACCTATGTTTCTTTGGGCCTGGCTTACTTCACTTAATGTCTTTTCCAAGTCTTTCCATTTCCTAACAAATGGGGCAATGTCATTCTTTCTGATGGAGGCATAGAATTCCATTGTGTATATATACCACAATTTCTTGATCCATAGGCAAAATGAACCCCAAGATAAGGACTCAAATGTTTTTTTTCTTTCTGGCTATTCTTTTTAACATATTTATAAGATATTCCTTTATTGCTTTGTATGTTCCTCCCCCACGGTATAACCCCTGTTTTCTCTGTGTTTGATGTTGGCATAATTTGTGGAGGGGAAGGGGAAAAAACAAATTGTTTAAATAGGGATACAGGTGGATCCATTGCAACAATGAGATGTACAAGATGTTATGCCGAAAAACGAACTTTACAACTTTGGAGCGGGGGTGGGGGTGGGGGGGAGGATGGACGGAGGGGGCGAGAAATGGGAAGGGATGGGAAGGGGAAACAAAGGAGGAAGCAACAATGCTTAATAAGAAATGTACTCATTACCTTGCCCATGTAATTGTAACCCCTCTGTACGGTATTTTCACAATTAAAAAAAAATAGCACCTTAAAATCTATTGCTGTCACAATGTTTTCAGACATAGACTTCCAGAGGGGGACCTTGGGCTGTTCTTCAAAGTTCCTGAAAATAGGAGTAAGGGTTGGGAAGGAATAGAGAAGACTGCATTGTAGGCCTTTTTGTTTTGAGTCTTCAGATACAGTTAAGGGTCCATTCTGCACAGAGGCAGGAATAATTGACACGTGTGCACAAGTGGGCAGACATGACCCAGACATGCTTTTGCTGAGCAAAGTACAGGGTGATTTTGGCCCAGGGTCCTCCCTCCACTCCTGTGCATGCACAGTCCATGCCCCTCCCCCTATAAGTCCTTATTGCGCAGGTTGCCACGTAGAGCAAGGTCTTTATTGCGCATGCCTATGCCATGTGCTTATTGCTCATTGCATGGGCTCATAGGGATTAGTTGTGCCCAGCTACCAGAGAAGAGTGCCTCTTCTTTCTCCTTCTCCTAGGACTTCAGGTAAGGCCTCAGAACACTCCTTGACACTTTAAGTGTGATAGTGTGAGGAGGTGCTAGAGGGCTTCTGGTGGGTTGGACTTGTGGTGCTCGGCCTTGGCCTCTGGGTCCACATCCTTAATCCCAGCAGGTACTGCTGCCACCACGAGTCTTTGCCATGGTGGCACAGCCTGGACCAGGGAGTAAGGTGTCCCACAGGGGAGGAAGGAGTAATATGAAAGAGAACAAGAATTTTTTGTTATTCGAGAGGTACTCACTGAGCCCCAGATTGGAGCCACTTGTAACCGCTACCCAGATAGGTCCTAAGGCAGGCAGGCTCTAAGAGATTGGGGAAGGGAGGGCAGTTGGGCCCTGGATGCGGTGGGATCTATTTAGTACCCACTGAGGGTAAAGTAGATGGGGACAGGGTCACAGTGCTAAGTGAATATACTTCTGCTCACTGCTGTGAGCTGATGGAAGCTCACGCGAGTAATAGTAGCTACTTGAGATGCTGAGAGTGGAGGGATCCGTTTTAAGGCCACCCTGGAGTAAGGTGGTCTGAGGGTGGTGGGGTGGGGGAGTAACATGAGAAAAGATAAGCTGGTATGGGGGTTATTTCTGAGGTCCTCACTGAGCTCCCAAAAGGGCA